AATAATAATAATAATAATAATAATAATAATAATAATAATAATAATAATAATAATAATAATAATAATAATGATGATGACGTTAACGGTAAGAAACCAATTATCTTTAATGGAGATTCTAGTAATAATAATAATAATTATAATAATAATATTAATAATAATAATATTAAGGTAAGTGAAAATAAATCAAATTTTTACTCACATGATTGATCTTTTTTTTCTTTATATCGCAAAAATAATTTTATTCTGAATTTAGCGTGTATTATATACTGCTAATGTTGGTGATGCACGTGCAGTTTTGAAGTGAGCATTATTACATATTTAATATTTAAATACTATATTTATAATATTTTAATATTTATTGAATTGATTACTTTTGATTTTCATGAAAGTCGAAATGGAATTGCGGTTAGATTATCATATGATCATAAAGGAAGTGATCTTCAAGAAGCAAAAAGAATTGTTGATGCCGGTGGATTTGTTATGAATAATCGTGTTAATGGTATCGTGTTTTTATTTTATCAAAGATTTTCTTTAAATTATTATTATTATTTTTTTTTTTTTTGATATGTATTTATACTTATTTATTTATTTAATGTACAGGTGTTTTGGCAGTAACACGTTCATTGGGTGATAGCACAATGAAAGAATTTGTTATTGGTAAACCATATACAGCCGAAACTACTTTAACAGAAAAAGATTCATTTTTGATAATTGCTTGCGATGGGGTAATAATAATAATAATAATAAAATAATATTCTTATAGCATTTTTATAACATTTATATGGATATTTATTTTAACATTTATATAACATTTTAATAATAATATTTTTTTTAGTTGTGGGATGTTTGCGGTGATCAAGAAGCCGTTGATCTTATTGAAGATATTACAGATCCTCAAGTCGCCAGTAAAAGATTAATCGAATATGCATTACAAAATTTTAGTACAGATAATTTAAGCGTAATGGTGGTTAGATTTACTAATGGATAATTACACATGATAACAATAACAATATAAATATATATATATATATATATAATATATAAAATGTATGTGAGAGAAATTATAAATAATTTAGAGAAAGTATATTTTGCTTTTTTTTTTTTTGTTTTTTATAAATAATAAATAATAATAATACATGAATATATGATAATACAACATAATAATTTACATGAACAATAATGACAATAATGATAATAATTTACAGATTATTCTTCAATATATTTACTAACATATATATATAATGTGTTTGTAAAAACAAGTAATACAAAAGTAATACAAGAAATAATACAAAAAATGAACTCAAAAGGAAAAAAAACTTGGTGTGAAAAAAAAAGTGGTAACTTTTTTATTATTAGAGATATTATTTTTAGTATTTTTAGTATTTTTGGTATTTTTAATATTTTTAATATTTTTGGTATTTTTAATATTTTTGGTATTTTTAGTATAATTTGGTTATAAAAATTCTTACCCAAATTCAAAGGACAATAACTCAACATTAAAACATACATCCCATAACACATGTGCGTATATATATATAACTTAATTAAGAAAAAATTATAAATATAAGTAATATGTAATGTATAAGAAAATTTCTATAAATATTTATAAATGTTTATAAATATGCATTGTTGTTATTATATATTGTCCAAAATAAATACTTAAATGATGAAATAGAAAAATAAATGAAGTAGAAGAAGTGAAATGGAAAAAAGTGATTAAAATTACACGTTAGATGATAAAATAAATTATTTTTCATTTTCATTAATTTTTATGGGACGAGAGTTATTATTATTATTATGGTTGTTATGGTGGTTGTTATTAGTATTATGATTATTATTATTATTATTATTATTATTATTATTATTATTATTATTATTATTATTATTATTAATTAATGATTCCATTTTCTTTGTAACATATTTTGATGTAGGTGTGGAAGGTGCTTAAAAATAAAATTTAAAATATTATAATTATTTAATAATTTATTTATTAATAAAGAAAATAAAAAAAATAAAAATATTATAAAATAGGAAATTGAAATTGAAATTGACTTACATGTCATTGTCGTGTTGGAAGATGAATTATAGAAATCTCTTAATTGGGAATCCACATTACCGCTAGCTCGACTACCTCGGGGAGTAAGATTAGATTTACGTAATAATTTTCGAGCTGCTGGTGATAATAAAGCAGCACGCACTCTCGGACTTGCCATTCTGAAAATATAAATATATTTAAATACATAATAAAATGTATTTGTAATAAATAAATAAATATATATATATAAAATAAAAAACAAATATATAAAAATACAAACCTTGATAATGGACTAGGAGAAGATAGACCTGGTGATTTTAAGGATAAATTACGTTTACGAATATTTCGTGATGCATTACTGGATAGATTCATTCCAATTATTTCTCTCCGAGGGGTTGGAGGTAATTGAAATGTACGTCCTAAAATAAAATAAAAATAAAAAATAAAAATAGAAATAAAAAAAAAATGAATAACTCTTCCTTTCATGTTAATAGATGTTTATAGTAGACAATTGTTACTAGTAGAATATTGAAACATCCTAGTAGCAATTATAACCATTAATAATAATTTTACATACCTGGTGTTTGATCACCACCTATTAATTGTGGACTACCTTCTATTACACCCCAAGTCATTAATTCCGAAGAATCAAATTGTGATGGACTTGGAGATGGTGTGGCGGAGACAAAACCATATCCACCCACTCGAGGTGTATCACTTTCTGAAGTGGAATCCATATTTGTTCCGGAAACTGTTGCAGCAGCAGCTGTAGCTGCTGCATGATTATAAATAGTCTAGTAATTAATTTAATTTAATTGATTTAATTTAATTAATTAATTTAATTTAATTGATTTAATTTAATTTAATTTAAAATTATTCATACATTTTCATCTTGTGATTCGAATCTTGTAGCAGAATGAACTATTTGTTTTGGTGCTCTTCTTGGATTATCTTCGGGAATTTGATTTTCGCCTTCGGGATAAAACATTAAAGTATTTTTTACCTAACAAAAAAAAATGAATAATAATTATTAAATAAAAAATAAAATAAAATAAAATAAAATAAATAATTATTATAAATATTAAATAAATATTAAATAAATATTTAATTATTTTAAATACTTTATATTTCCAAGAAGAAATTTCACCAGTTTTATTATCAGATGATCCTTCAATCATACCAACATCATTATTTTCATTATTATTATTATGATTATTATTATTATTATTATTATTATCATCTCCAATCGTTTTTAGATCATTTTCTTTTTCGTACATCCATTTATATTTTTCTTTTCTTTGATCATTGGATTTTCGAATTAATTCTGAAAAGGTACAATAAAAAAATTTAGGTTAAGGATATAATAAATAAATATAAATAAATATATATATATATAATATTATTATTATTACGAAAATAAAGGATATGAAGCATTATCTTCACTAGTATATTTTGCTTGAAATGCGTCCAACGGTAAATTTGTATTATACTTTTTGGGAGCGGGAATTTTAAATATATTTGAATCCGAAGTTGAAACTGGAGTATCCCATTCCCCTCTAATTGTTGTCGTTGTTCTATTAATATTATTAGTAGCGGTAGTGGTGGTGGTGGTAGTAGTAGATGAGTTCATGCTATTGTTGTTGTTGTTGTTGTTGTTGTTGTTGTTGGTGATGGTGGTAGTGGTGGAAGATAAAGAAATAGGAGTTTTTTGAATAGGAGTTTTCCTATTAGGAGTATTATTAGCTAATTCATTTAATTTTTGAGTAGCTTGAATAATTAGATCAGGGTTATTTGTACTCCAAGCATCTACATAATCATGTTGTGCTTCAAGGGTTAAAAGGGAAGGAAAGAAATCTCGTTTAATTATTTCACTTAAGGCATCAGTGTAAGTATCTTCATCTAAAATTATTTGTTTGGGTTTTATCGATTCAATATGAGTTTCGTTATGAATAATTAAGGATTTGTTTTTTGTATTTTCTATAATTCCTACGGTTCCTGTTGGTGTGGAAGTTTGACTCATTTTTTTTAAAAAAAAAAAAAAATTATGAATAAATTTATAAGATTTAGAATAAATTTTCTAAAAATAAAGAGATGTAAAAAATGTGGATCTACATCATGTCTTTCATATATGTATGTATGATCCGTTAATTTATAATCTACAATAACTAGCGAATTCGTACTACAACGCTATGTATATTATGTGATGCGACGTTGTCCCAAAATCCGAGGTCCCAATCAATTGAGATGATCGCGATCGAGAACACTTTCGTATGGGGATCAAGAGTTCGATACTTTTACCACAATTACCACAATTACCACAATTTGGAAAAGGAAAAACATTAAACGCATTAAGCAAATTCTATGGAAGCATGGAAGAAATTTTATTACAGTATTTTTGCAAGAACAAGTATGGCAATGTCATAGTAAACGTTATACGTTATTGTTTCCATAAATTTACGGAAATGAAGTTACAATAATAAAAGAGTTTCTGATTCGAATTTAGAATTTATTTGTGTCTAATCTTAAGATTTTAAGGCCTAAATCCCTGTAAAAAGAAAACGATAAATTTAAAAATGATGTTCGCACTAGTATTTCAACATTACACCCAACATTCATTTTTATAGTAAATACATTTTTTTTTTTTAAAAAAAAAATAAATAAAATAAATAAAGAAAAATTTTATCTTGTTATTAGATAAAGAATAAAAGAATCAATTATTATAAAAATTATTATGAAAAAAATAAAGCGTAAAGATTTGAGTTTTAATTAAATAAAGCAGGTGATCTTGACTAAATCGTGTAACGACATCATTTAATATAAACTCCGATTGCGTTACTCACTCTCTATTATTTTAAAAAAATGATATTAAAATTTTTAGACAAATTATCTCAAGATGTTTCTGAACTTCTTAATGATAAAGAAGAATATAATGTTATTATTAAAGTTGATCAAGAACCTAATATAAAAACTTTCACTGCTCACTCAGCTATCTTGCGTTATCGATCATCCTACTTTAATAAAGAATTATCGAATACCATTATTACCAATGATGATAATAATAATATTAAAACTATTACGAAACCAAATATTTCTGCTCAAATTTTTGAAATTATTCTCAAGTAAGGAATAATATTATTAATATTATTTTTATATTTAATAAATATATTAATATATATAAATATATATATTTTTGTATATAATTAATTTTAATAAAATTTATATAGGTATATATATGGTGGAATTATTGATACGGAAAATATAGATACCAGAACTATATTTGAATTGATGATCGCTATTAATGAATTTGGGTTTGAAGAATTATCTGTGAAATTAGAAAGTCATCTTATTGAATTCAAATCTTCTTGGTTAAGAATTCATTTTTCCTTTATTTATCATTCGATTTGTAAAAAAAATAATAATAATAATAATAATTTTAAAGATTTAGAAAAATTTTGTAATGAAATTATTACAAAATATCCAAATTTAATTTTTGAATCTGCTGAATTCACTTCTCTCCAAGAAACAGCTTTAGTATCTGTTTTGAAAAGAGATGATTTACAAATGAAAGAATCCGAAATTTGGGATTATATTATTAAGTGGGGAATTGCACAAAATCCTACTTTACCTGAAAAATTAGAAGAATGGACCAAAGAGGATTTTAAGACTTTAAAGACATCTTTACAACAATGTTTACCACACATTCGTTATTTTCACATTTCAAATTCAGATTACATAAATAAAATCAAACCATATAAGAAAATTCTTGATAAAGAACTACGGGATGATTTGACACAATATCTTTTACTTCCGGATCAACCAATTAAATCAATTATTTTACCACCAAGAGTGAATTTAACTCAAGAATTATCAACAAAAGTGAATTCAACTCAAGAATTAACAATAAATAAAATCCAAGAGCCAACAGTTAATTTAACCCAAGAACCACCAGTATTATCACGAAGAGTAAAAAATGAATCATTTTCGACTATAATTAATCAAGAGCATTCAGCAATAATTTCATCATGGATTAATTATCAAACAATAAATTATTCATCAACAAATAATCCATATGAGTTTCAATTAATTCTTCGAGGAAGTGAAAATGGATTTGCTCCAAAAACTTTTTGGGATATTTGTGATGGTTATAATAATACAATTGTAGTTTGTAAAGTTGAAGGAACAGACGAAATTCTAGGAGGATATAATCCTTTGGCATGGAATAAAACACAAGAACATTGTTTGAAAACAAATGAAAGTTTCATATTTTCATTCAAAGATGATAATATTCAAAATCCAATTCTTAGTAGAGTTAAAAATGAAAATTTTGCTTTAAAGTATTATAAAAATAAAGATATATATGGTCCATGTTTTGGACTTAATGGATTCAAGATGAAATCAAAAGTATCAAATTTTACTCAAGATAAGGAAAACCAATGTTGGATTTCTAATAATTATTATGAAAAGTCTATTAGAGCCAATGATAAATTTTCTATTATAGATTATGAAGTATTTCAAGTTAGAAAAATCTAGCTAAATTTTATTCCTATTTCGTTTTTTTTTTTTTTTTTTTTTTTTTTTTTTTTTTTTTTTTTTTTTTTTTTTTTTTTTTTTTTTTTTTTTTTT